TATCTTTGTCCTCTGCTTTCCTCAGATTATCACCCATCGTCTTTCCTGTCTACTCTTTAATGTTGTCCTCCCATCTCCTTCTCTGCCTTCCTCTCTTTCTCTTTCCTCGTACGGTTCCTTATAGGGTTGTTTTGGCAAGTCCTGTTCTATTTATAGAGTGCACGGAAGCCGCCAGATACCTAACCGATCCTCCAGTGAACACCGCTATAACCTTTAGCTCCTGGCACTTCATTAGGTTCTGAACGGAGTCAAATGGTGTACTCTATGGTGAATCGTAATTACGTCATAGTGCATAGTCTAGAATAATATTGTAATACAAGGCAATGGGAAAGTCATACTTTATTTTAGACTCAGTATTCAGGATCGGACACACAGGTTAATTGCATTTATGTACACATAGCTGCTGAAAACATGTCCGCCAGAGACCTGCCTATGCAACGTTGCACCCATAACCTCTGGACATCTTGAAAAAACGCTCAAAAATTGATGCCCATTTGTCCAGTGGACTCGATCTACAGAACCAGGTCAGATCATATAATGGCGCTGGCCTGTGCACACGGTATTATTGTGATCAACAAACCATGGCAGGAAGGACCTATAAGACACCTCCTTAGGTCGAACAGACTACTTCTGCGTATTAGTAGTAGTAGTAGTAGTAGTAGTAGTAGTAGTAGTAGTAGTAGTAGTAGTAGTAGTAGTAGTAGTAGTAGTAGTAGTAAAGCAGCAATAATGATCCGATGGGCATAATAATAATAGCAATGCCTTAGGACAAGGCGAGAGTCAGTGAGAAAAAAACTCTTCTGTTCTGTCTCCCAAGATTGTCTTACTCGTGGCTACTGGGCGGTGTCCTGGGCTTCACAAAGGACCAGTACAAGGCTGTCAACGGATTCTCCAACCTCTACTTTGGCTGGGGAGCTGAGGACGACGACATGTTCTTGAGGTATTGTATTTTTCTTCTTTTTTTTTTTTTTTTTTTTTTTTTTTTTTTTTTTTTCCAAAACACGGGTACAGGTCATAGTAACCTGGATAGGAACTGGTTTGTAGAATTAGAATGACAGGAAATTAATTGTTTTGTTACAGAAAGGTCCCCGAGAAGCAACTTTCAACTACTTGAGAATCCTTTTTCCTTTAAAAAAATAGAATTTAATAGATTTTCACATTTAAACATTGTTTAAATTTCTTCACATTAAAACATCTTTTAGATTTCTTCCTTGCTCCCTTCCTTTCTGTCTTTTGGTCCCATTGGTATTGTCTTTCGTTCTATATATTATACTCTGTTTTTATTTTGCTTTCTGTTTCTCATACCTTCTTTGATTTCTTTTCTATGTCGACACCAATACTTTCTTTTCTATTTTTAGACCTGCATTTTTGGTGGGGTGGGGGTAACCTTTTCCTTACCTATTTAATTAATATTCCTACTTTTTCCTTCTTTTCTAGTTTTGGCCCCATGAGTGCCTCACTTTTTCTTCTTTTTTCTGCTATTTCTTGTGTACGTTTTTTTATTTCCTTCCTTTTTATTTCTGCTGAGCTCATCGTAATATCGGTTCTGCTTCTATTTAGGCGTCAATGGCATGAATTCTGTTGCTCTCTCTCTCTCTGTCTCTGTCTCTGTCTCTGTCTGTCTCTCTCTCTCTCTCTCTCTCTCTCTCTCTCTCTCTCTCTCTCTC